TTGAGCCCTTTGTAGGAAAAAGGCAGGATATAAATCGATAAATAAATCCTCAGAGGTAGCTAAATGGAGGGAAACTGTGAGTATGGCACCCATTTGTATGCATGGCTTCTCAAACAGCTAGGGAAGCCTTCTGTTTTACAGAGATACTCCCTATCTGGGCTGGAGTGATAGTCTCCAAATTTCCAGCCTTTTAACTATTTTTAATGTTTATGCTTTCCTAGGGCACCTGGCTGAACAAAGGTTTGCTTTAATAGATTCATTCTGGCATGACAGTTGTCGTTTGTTAACTACAGCACTAATGTCTGTACCTTTCCGTGTAATTTGCCCATTTCCACCAGCCGATTTAACATTACCTTTATGCATAGACTTAATTTCATTTTTCTTTCAGGCTGATTAGTGAAAATGGAAGTTTATGCAAATGAGCCCAGTCAGCTAGTGCCCGATTTGAATCTTGTGCCGTTTCAAGGCTAGCTTCACTGCCTGTCTTTATCTAATGCTGCCATCAAGTATCTGAAATGGCTACCCCATGGGTTGTAATTTGGAAGCAGATGGTAGAAAACACTTGTAACAACATGACTCCCCGTTATGGTGCTCGATTATATTGCTGCCCAATGGGATGGATTATGCATTCCATATCAGCATATTCTCATTGGCATCACTTAAACATTTTTCTGTGTAATATGAAGAATTCAGTGCTATGTTCAATAACTATACTTCTAGTCAGATCTTGCTGACTGAGTTAATGGGAGTTGTAGTACAATACACTAGGAGGACGCAATGTTCGGAAAAACAGTTCTAGTCTTATTTTAAATATTTCAAGATTCCTTATTTGTTAAATTATGGTTTGCCTGAAGCAGGAAACAATGAATAAATTAATTAATAATTCAATATAGCAAGCATTTAAAAAAGCTACCTTCAGATTCTTTTTTTCCCCAAAATGGAAAGCTTGCAATCATTAAAAGAAATGGGATCTTTTTCTGGCTCTGATAAACATATAATGTTTTCTCCAATGTTTGGTATCAGCACTAATGTAATTACAGTTGCTTGCTGCCAGGATATCTCTAGATAGATACAAAATTATTTGTCATTAAAAATTAATCCAGTGATGTTAGAGTTTTGCAAACAGTTCAGAGTTCTGGAGAGCAGCACTAGCTTCCTCTCTTAAGGCTGGAATATGATGTCCAGCCACATGAAGGAACTGTGCTTGGTAATGTTGCTGTTCTCCCCATATGACATTGTCCACACAATTGAACCTGTCTCAGGATTTGGTCATGCAATATGGATACAATGCTGCAATATTACTTCAGAGACTCTGA